ATTTTTATTCTATTGAAAAAAGTGTGGGTAGGATGAGGGAAACATCAAGGAGGAGGAGGGAAGAGGATATTTTATCAAGACTTAATTTGGTCATACATATTTAAATTCAAATCTAAAAAGAATAGGAAAACATCCTACAGGAGTTTGTGAATGTGGCCAATCACAAGAGACAGTAGAACATGTACAAAGTACTTATAGATTGTATAAAATATCACAAAATTATTCTTCAAAATCGATTTCATGAGCAAAAAGTACAATTTAATTTAGTTGAGTTGCTTTGCTTAAATTCAAATCACATTTTAAATAGGGCCTTTTTTCATTTTCTTGTAAAATCAGAACTTTTCAGGAGAATATAGGTTAGGGTTTAATTCTGGTTCACACTCCAATTCAGAAGGTGGCGGTAATGCACACTAACAAGCTGTTTGCCAACCGCCAAGAAAATCAAAGAAGAAGAAGAAGAATGCTCCTTGCCAGATTATCTAATCCTTTTGGTTGTAGATGTCCAGCGCTTCATTTATCTTGTCTGAAACTCCTGTCTTGACCCCAAGCCTGCTTTCTGGATTTGCCTCTTTGCCTGCCTCTTGTCTGCCCTCGTTCTGCTCCTCTGATCCTGGTGATGACCTTTGCTTCTGGCCCCTGGACTCTGGATTTTGGATCACCCTTTGGACCTGTTTAAAGACCTCTACCTCTCTTAAAGACCTGTGCCTCTCCTAAATGATCCCAAGATCCCCAGTCACTGCACATCACGTGGCGTCTCTGGGCAGCACACCTCATCCCCAAAATGCCCCCCGGGCGCTTTCAATAGCTGCTCACTGCACCACCTGGTGGTGGATGGGTTAAATGCAGAGACTAATTTCGCCATTGTATGGAAACATACAGTGCTGACATTGTGATGACATTATTATTATTATCATCTTTGGATTACCCCCCCACCCCCCACCCTTAATCATTGCCATTGCAGCGTACCTCTGCAGCTGTGTCTCCACCAGCTACGGTGACATCATCCACACAAGCTTTGACAGGTGTAAATCACCATGCCTGCCTGAGAAGGTTAGTGACTGTTATCGACAAACAATCCCCTAAAAACCCACAAGCCACTAACATTCATATCTTTGCAGTTTTGTTCCTGCCTCTGGATCCTGACTCCCACCAGCAGCTGCAAATTAATAAACCTTTTAAACTTTCTTGTTCTTCGGCTAAGTTTACGAATCTTAGAAGCTGACACTTGACACTCTCAGGAATCTTTCCCTCAAACACGTTTAAAGAAGAGACACAGCTTTTGGTTCAACTTTATTCTAACCCACAGATGTACAAATCACAAAACAAGAATTACACTTTAAATCAAAGCTAAAATAAAATCTGTATACAAGAAACAAAACCACATATCTAAATTGAACAATAAAAGTAGACACAATGAGTGCAAATATGTCAAATGATGAAGAAAAATATAGAATTTTAACTATAATATAATTTGAAATATAAACGTGTTTGTAGAATCTGGTTCATCAGATTTAATTCAGTTTATATAGCACCAAGTCACAACAGAAGTTGTCTCAGGGCACTGAACAGAAATATTCATATACAAAATAAGTTAACAGAAACATTCATATTTAAAAATAATAATTTAACATTATTGATCTGGGGAGCAGACTGCTTTAAGTTTAACTCATCGCAGAACTCTCACTCAGAGAACTAAAGTTAATTAGCAGGATTTTGGATTCTGGACCCACCTCCAGAACCGGTCCAGAAGTGTGGTGGAAATCAGGCTGATCTGAGCAGAGTTGGGGCTGAGTAGGGGTGGTGCAAAAGAGGCATAAAACCTGCCTGAAATGGTAAATGGACTGTACTTATATAGCGCCTTTCTATCTTATTTCAAGATACTCAAAGCGATTTACACTACAATCTGTGTCCTCATTTACCCATTCAAACAGCACTCTACTAGATCTCTACAAAGCTAATTGAACAAATCATTCTAAAGAGACTAATCAGTGCTTTTAGATCACATTCATACACTGATGGGACACACATCAGAGGCTATGATGGGTTCAGTGTCTTGCCCAGGGACACTTCAGCATGTGACTACTGGTGGATTCGAACCCCCAACTCTCGCATTGGAGGACGACTGCTCTAACCACTCAGCCACAGCCGCCCTAAAATGTGTGCAGTGTGGCGTCTGAAGCTGTCTGTGTTGATTTCCAGAACTGAGGATAGTTTTGATCATCCACTCTGCAGCTTTTCCAACACTTCCTTCAGGTTTGACTTAAACAGAGGGGTGCTTTAAAAACATGGTAACATCAGAATGGGAGCATGAAGACATTCAACAGGGATAATGTTCTCAACGCTCCATCTTTACATATACAGTAGATACTAGCATGTGGTAATTAGCACAAAATGAAAACAGTTTGAATGTGATGGAGACTAGCTTTGAAGATATTTGGTATTTTTGTTTAATCATAGTCATCCTGAGGGGTAAATAAATTTCTCCATATAACAGCTTGGCACTGAAAGACATAGATGTAAACTCATTACTAAGTATGGAAAGTGAGATAATCATAAAAGTTGTCAAGACGCACCTGCATGTTGAAAATTTAACGCTAATCCTTCAAAAATAGCAAAGGCTGTTCAGACCAAATTAGATGACTGATCATTTTATTCACATGGGCTAATATCAGATTAAAGCATGGCTGACAGAGGCAGTAAGTATTTTCTGTGGAGTAAAAATATATGTTATAGGGGTGTGACGGCAATGTTCCCTCTAAGCTGCGCGCCTGCGCAATCGCACACTGCTCGCACATTCTCTGTGCACAAGAAAATCTGCTGCGCAGTGGCGGACTGGCCATCGCGAGCACCTGCACCGGGACATTTCCCGGTGGCCTGATCCACTCAGTGACCGCCGAGGACCAAAGACTTGGTTCAGGTCCATGCCGCTCGCTCAGGTATCCGCCTCACTGAGGCTCACACAGACAGCAGCGGCAATGATGACACACAACAGGTTGCGTGCCCGTTTATAGCCCGTAATGACTCGTAATGACACAGTAAAAGTGTGTGTGTGTGTGTGGGGGGGGGGGGGGGGGTCCAAATGAGCATTTTATGAATGTGGGGTGGACATGTCCCCTTCACATATAATGGTTGCAACGCCTATGGCTGAAAGGTGTATAGGTCTCATTTCTTCCAGAGCAGGACCATCTCCCAGGCCACAACTGGACCCTCACCCAGACCAAAAACAGAACTCTTCCCATGGCCAAAGCAGGACTCTCACATATAACATACTACACATCTCATAAATAACAAGATTATTGTCTTTTTCATTTTAAAAATGAGCCAAATCACTTCCATTAAAAGTAAACAAATGGAAATTGCTGCTGTAATTTGATTATTTTAATAAGCCATGTAACTTGCTATGATCCCAGTTTTTGAACAGGTATGATACTGGTGTGTGGCCACAGCATGAACATCTGATACTGCTCACAGTGGTCCTCAGAGTGCTCAGGAAGCTTGTGTGTTAGCTCAGACACATGAAAAATTAGAAGGAACATTGTGTGATGGCACACGTGTTCATACTGAACTCTCTCAGTAACGATGTTTTGAATGAGTACATAAAGGTATAAGCCCATTACGTTAATAAGATGTGATCACCATCTCACAAATTAAGGCTCACAAATGAACTGAGGTGCATTTTGCAAACAGCCACGACAGCGAGGAAGCAGAGACATCTAAACACTTCACATCACATAATGCAGGAATGAGGGGGGTATGGATTGTTTGTGCATTTATTCAATGTTTCTGACACAAAGTGGCATTTTCCTCCATTAGCGCTGAGAAACTAAATTGAGTGTTTCATTTTTTATTTTGTATTTACAAGGTGTCCGAGGTTAGCTCGCCCTGGGTTACATATCCTCGTGAGCGGTGCGATCTTACCATTCACGTAAAATATTTGATATTGTTCTTATAGAAACAATTCTTGAATGTTGTTCATACTGTGGTAATGCTACATGTTTGTCTGTTGACCGTACAACTGGGTCACGTTACAATAGACTTAACCCACTACTGGAGTTTCAATAAGGTATTTTAAGTCACTAATAAACACGATGGATGATGATCATATCGCTTTATGCTAGGCCATTGGTAAGAAGGAGTGATTATTATTATTGTTTCATACTAGCTAGTGATTTTTTTCCCCTAAAAGTTAACTTGAGGTTACACTATGTTTCTTAGACTGTGACTAAGATGCATGACAGAAGCGGAGCGTGCTCTGTCCACACAAGGAGAACTGTTGGTCAGGCTACTTCTTGTTGTACCATTAACTCTAAAACGGTTACTGAATCAAGTGTTTACTTATGTAGGTAAAACTAGATGTTAAACAACCTGTTAAAATACACCAGAATGCAGGAAATGGCATCTTCTTCATTCAAAATGTTCTGGGAGAGGAACTCCCCAGACCCCACCACCAGTGTGTCCTCCCCCTCCACATTAAAAATGCTTCTGACGCCAATAGTCACCTCATTGTTCAAGCCAAGAGCCATTGTCAGCACTGGGGGCTAATCACCCATAAAGGGTATATTCTAGAATCCCCCTGATGTAAGGTTATAATTACATGATTTTAATAATAATAGGTTGTGATCTAAAGTGGGCCACTCTGAGGCTGAAACTCCAGGACTGAAAATGAGTCCCACTCAGGCCCCGTTAGTAACTGCTTCTGCCTGTTTTAGTAACAACTTTGCATTAGTTGACATTTGTTTCATTTTCATTTTTCCTGTTGAACCAAACATGTTCCAAATTATGACCCCCTTACTAAGGTATGCACCAAACCGTGGCTTAAACGTTCTGTTACTCCCTATCTATGTAAAGTTAGCAGAAAAATAAGGTGCCATTCCCTCAGCTGTGTTCTGTGTGAACCATTTTTCCTGCTTTACCCAAAAAAGAACCTGAGATTGGACAAACCATGTGAGACACAAACACAGAACAACAGACTTTAGATTCATCCCCACACAAAGCCTCACCTCCACAGTGTGCCAGGCCATACAGGACGTAGCCTTTACGACAAAGACACTGGAAACTGCCGGCAGAGTTGACACAAAAGTGGTCGCAAGCTCGGTCGAAAGAGCATTCATCAATATCTGCACAGACAAAGAGACAAATAGAAACTCCTCAAAAACTTCAGAAAATCACAAAAAATTATACCCTTTTTGTGTTCAAAACACTTCTATGGCCTTTTCCCATCTTCTGTATTGTAAACGTTGCTTGCCATACATCGCAGTGGGTCAAATTACAGGTGACAATAAAAAAGTACTTTTTCAGAACCAGACATTTTCTATTTGACCTTGTCTAGTCATGCAGTTTTCCATTTTAGTAAACTGAAACGTTCTCCAAGCATTTTGAAATCTCAAGTGGTCACAGCAGGAGTCCAGAAAGTTTGATTTTACGTAAACAGGGAAGTTGAGGGACACTGAACCTGACAAACATATTTTTGCCCTTAGATTTAAACACAATTAATGACTGGATGGTGACAAAAAAAACTAAAAGTTATGTTTCTGTGGTCAGCCAGTGGTCATGTAAACATGTAGTGTGCAGCAGTAAAAGTTCTGTATGATGGATGAACATGTGAAATGACAAAAAGAAATCAGTTTCTGGTGTTCCTGATATTTATGAACCTTCAAACACCTTCAGTAGCTCCTTCCTGTCTGTCAGTATCCTCTTTATCTGATCTTGTTCTGCTTTCATTCTGTCTTACTCAGACATCCATCCTAATAATTTTTTTTTAAACAGTCATCAGGCTTGAACTCTTAAAGGCTACAGGAGATTGAAAATGTTTGTTTGTTGGCTTGACTTTTCTTTTATGTCAGTGACGTCTGCGTCAAGCTCAGGCAGCAATTGCTGGGAGAAGAACGGGGCGAGCCTCAACTCTGCTGGATGTCAAATTAGCTCATTTAGGAAAAGTTCCCAGGATATTCCCCAAAACATGTGCTTTTATCTGCTGCACATGAACCTCCTCTGGGTTATGATGTAGAGCCAAGTGCCATCAAACAGATGACGAAGGTATTTCACTGCAGTTACAAAAAGTTCAGTGAGCTGCCTTAAAGAAGACACATTGAAAAACATCTGCAATGATCCTTGTTCTAGAAAAAGGTGGTTTGTTTTCACAGAAAATTTATATTTTCACATAAAATGTTTTGCTGAACTCAATCACTGTTGTTAATAAGTGATGTTCTGAGTAGTTAAATAAGTAAGTTGGTCGTCTGTCCCTATGCATCCCTGTGAAAGACTTGCGACCTGTCCAGGGTGTCCCCTGCCTCTCACACAGTGACTGCTGGATATGGACATCAGTGACCCCCGCAACCCAAAAAAAAAGAAGCAGGTAAAAGATAAAAGGGTGGATTAATAAATAAAACAAATACCAGAATTACAAACATTTTTAAGAAGGGAATATGTATTCCCACTGCCTTTTATTCAAGGATTCAAGGTTCTTTATTATCATTTGCATCACATGCGGTACATGATGTGGAAAGAAATTATGTACACAGGGTCCCAGTATTAAAAAAGTATAAAATGTAAAAGAAAAACAGGAATAAGATCTAAGGTATGAACTAAGAAAAACGTTGACTAAAAATACGCTAAGCACTAGTAGTGCAAAAACAATAAGCCGAACAGCAGCACGAACATGGGTCTGTGTGAGCAGATGAGAACAAATGAACACATCAACATGAAACAGATCAGAAGCAACATGATGTGATTTTTTACAGTGATTATTCTGGTTAGAGATTCATGAGTCTAACAGCTTCAGGGTAGAAGCTGTTCCTCAGTCTAGTGGTTCTACACTTAATGCTCCTCAACCTCCTTCCTGAAGGAAGCAGGGCAAAAAGTATGTGCTGGGTGAGTGAGGTCCTTCATGATGCAAGTGGCTCTCTTCCTGCATCTAGATGTGTAGATGTCTGTGATGGTGGGGAGACTGACTCCAACAGTCTTCTGTGCAGCCTTTACCACTCTCTGCAAAGCTTTTCTTTCTGCAGCTGTGCAGCCTCCATGCCACACGTTGATGGTGGAGCACAGGATGCTCTCCACTGCACACCTGTAGAAGGAGGTGAGGACTGAGCTTCCCAGACCAGCTCGTCTCAGCTGCCTGAGGAAGTAGAGTCTCTGATGCCTTTTCTTGATCAGGCTGGTGGTGTTGTTGCTCCAGCTGAGGTTGTCATTCAGGTGCACACCCAAGTACTTGTAGCTGGAAACCACTTCCATGGCGTGTTTGTTCCGTCTGAAGTCCACAACCATCTTTGGCTTCTTCACATTGATGTGAAGGTTATTCTCTTTGCACCAGCTCTCCAGGTGTTCCACCTCCTGTCTGTAGCTGGACTCATCATTGTTTGTGATGCATCCCATCACCGCTGTATCATCTGCAAACTTTACAATATGACAGCCTGGATGGGTAGCTGCACAATCATACGTGAGCAGAGTGAACAGCAGAGGGCTCAGCACACAGCCCTGATACTGTAGTTTTAAAATAAGATGATCTTGTGCTGAGAAATAACAAAGTTATAACAGTTTTGTTCAAAAATTGAAAATAAAATGATTCACAACATCATGCAATTTGACACATGCTCTATTAGCCTTTGAAATATGTGTTTGGAATGACCACCACATCAAATTTTACCTCAGTTTCTGTAAAAGTCACTGAGACGTAGCAATTTATGTATTCTAAGTTTGATTAGATGTGGAAGCCATCTTAAACTCAGTTGTTTCCAATAATTATTTTGGTGTAAATGTACATTCAATGATTACTTCCTGATAGTTTCATTAAAATATTTCCAGTGGTGTATGAGGTTGATTCCAACAGTTAATGTCAAAGTTTAAAGTATAACAGTCAGCTACTTGTTCCGATTGAAGTGTCGAGGATAATGCTAATCACACTAAATTTTTGCTCAATATCTGTAAAAGGACAGAGTTATAGTTGTTGTTGTGGCCATCTTCAACTGGGCTGAGTGCAAAAGTTAATTATTTGGAGGTGTGACTCCAATGATTATTTTCCTAAAGTTTCAGTAAAACCTGTTTAGTGGTTCATGAGATATTTTGCTAACAAACAGAGTTTATTCCAATTATTTTTTATTTAAAACACATATCATGTGATCAATCAGCACTCACAGTATTATTGGAGGCAACTTTTACATAAATGGTTTCCTAAACGTCTACTTTTTGATTAAAGTCGAAATAGAATTGGGATCCTTTTTAATAAGAAATTGGAGTGAACATAAAGTTGGTACTGTACATTTAAACACCACATTACATTTTTCATCTGGAGTTATGTAAAGAAAAAACACTATTATTTCAGTTTGTAACAGGTTTCCATCTAAATAAACTACTTGAGCCTGTAGGCCAAGGGGATACCATATTTAAACAACAGTTGCGGGCTGCACAAAATCACTCCGAAGGCCGCAAATAGCCCACGTGCTGCACTTTGGACACCCCTACTTTATAGGCTCTTGATACAAATAAAACTAACAAAAAACTGGACTGAGCATATCTACAGCTTGAAGTACAGCTTCCACATAAACAGCTGATTTATCTTGGTTTTACAAGACAAAGCCAGGACAGTAGCTCTTGTTCAAGTTGACTGCCTTTGGAAACCTGAATGTGTGTGTGTATGTGTGTGTGTGGGGGGGGGGGGGGGGGGGATTGGCACATGCTCTGTGCAGTGCCGCAAAAGTGTTCACTTCTGGCAAATTAGGGATAAAGTTTACTGTAAACCCCTGTGGAAAAAACAATCCTGGTGACTCTGAGTTTATCCTTAAAAAATGTTTCTTAATGCTCCATTGACGCCAGAAGTGAATCTGCAACTTATCATTACATAGTTTGGTGTTGTACCAAAATACAGACTGTTGACAACTCCTATAACACTCATTTACATGGCAGCAAGAAAAAAAAACAAGTTTCCATCGGCTACTTCTCTCTGCTAAGTCCTAGCATTTCTCGTTGAGGCTTTGTGGAAAATAAATCAAACATATATAGACAGCTGGAAAAACTACAATTGTTTCTACAAAACAGATAAACGCTTAAAACGGAGAAAGATGAAGAGTTAAGTGCTCTCATGTGCATTGGGAGTCAGAGGAAGATGAGGAGGGGACTTTGGGTGGAAGAATGCTGACAGGAGCTCTGCAGACATGCCCCATCCTGAATTAAGAGCCACGGCCCACTGAGAGCAGAGAAACACCATGACTGTTTAAACCAAGATAAACCCCGAGTTCAGCTTCCACATCTCAACACCTTAAGGAGACAGCGCACACCTGATCTGGTGAGACTGTACGCTTCGACACACAACGAACACCAGCAACTGTCAATAAAACCAAACACAAGTGCAGATCTGATCATTTAATGTCTTTATCTTTCAGGGATGACCTCAGGGAGGTCACAGTGACACAATCTGTGCCATCTTTGAAAAAATTGAGGAAAAAAGATCAATTTTTTGATTAAACAGACTAGACTTGACTTTCACTCTGACAGCAGGTCATGAAGAATACGGAGTGGTGGGAAATTGTAAATTATTCTTACCAAAGAGCCACATGAAAACCTGGGAATGTTGCTGCAGCCTGGACCAATAAGCTAAACTTGGTTCTGGACAACGTCAATTTTGTAATTAACTAGAAAAGCTGTATAATTTTAATTAGCTGTTAAAAGCAGACATTGTAACTGGAATACAAAGCTGAGCTATATCTGACATGAGAATTTAAAGTTTGTATCTTTAATAGTGAACATTCACAAAAATGAAAAAAAAGAAGAAGAAGATATTTTGTAGTATCTTGTAACACCAGCTTCAAACTGGCAACATAAAATTACTGTTTCATGTATTTCTTTTTTTTTTTTTTTTTCAGTGAATGAAATATATTTTTGGGCATAAACACATGTATTGAAGTCATGTTTCTGAGGTATACGTGAAGGATAGATGACAGTGCGATGATCTGTATTTGAAGTTCCCTGCCTCGTGTGTGCAAAGTTGTCAACTCCTTGTTTAATTTTATTTTCCTCAGGGCACACTAACGCAGCCGAGATATCTCAAAACTAGTCTTGGCTGCTCCATCTTTGCATGTAGATCTTAATAATAATGATATTAATACATTTTATTTGAAGGCGC